TGAAGTGTCTGGATGTGCATACAGTTCATTCGTCAAACACATGACAATGGAAAAGTTGTGAGCATCTTTTGCCATACATGGACTCCTGGAAATGCTGGTCGCAGATAACGTACCATTGTTTACCAACAAGAAATTTGAGTATCTCCTAAAGTTGAATGGGATTTGGCATGCAAGGACAGCTCCATGCCATCCATTGTCCAATGGTCTGGCGGAAAAAGCAGCCCAAACTTTGAAGGAAAGCTTAAAGAAACAGCCTACAGCTTCACTAAATATCAAACTGTCCTGGTTCCTAGCTAATTATAGGACCACCCCTCATGCAACTACTGGGACGGCTCCAGCAGATAGGGAGAGGACTCTGCACCAGGTCAAATCTTATCTTCTTGGACCGAGATCGGGGGGAACACCAAGACCAGACACAAGACTCCTCTAAGCAAGAGAGACTGTTTACTTCAGGGGATGAATTTTGGTGTCGAATCCAAAGAAATGGCCCTGCATGGGTGAAAGACATACTCGACACAAGGTTAGGTCCCGTGACATACAAAGTTTGGATAGGAGAGGCGGTCCTGAACAAGAACGTGGATCACTTGAAAGCTGCAGTCTCACAAATGGGGCAGGAGTGAAATATACCTGGACCCTCAGAACATCTGGCAAGGCTATCAGAACCTGTAGGTTCTCCCCCTCCACGTTGCATCAAAGAAACCTCGGAGGACAAGATGGACATGGCAGATGTCACAGCCTCGATGTCATTACCACCTGAAGACAATGTATTTCAGCTGAGACGCTCTTGGCGCAAGAAGCTATGGTCTGGTAAACACCGCCAGTATCCGAGAAAGTATCGGAGGAACTGGACCTGGTGTGAAAACGCCCTCGGAGAAGTTACAGGAATTAGAACAGGCCAATGTCTCAGGACTCAGAGGGGAGGGATGTAGTGATTGGAGCAATGTCACCCAGGTGGACCTCAAAGAATACCAGTTTCTGATTGGGCTGTTAACCTGGTCCAATCAGGGAGTCCTAGCTGACCGAAATAAACAGGAGTATCAGGGGATCTGCTCACTCTAGGAGCCAGCTCTGTGCTAAGTACATGTAGATAAAGGGTGACTTGGTAACGGGATACTGATCTTCATGGAGTTATTTCAGAAGGGGCTGAAGAGTTGAGGAGTCAAGGCAGATATCCGCTTTATGCAGCTGGTTACTTTAAAGGAATCAGACATCTCCCCACAGGGGCACGTGTCCAACCACGTCATCATGTAGTGTATGAGAAGGAGTTTAACTTTTGCAGGACGGCAAATTGTGATTAGTTTGTAGCTAGTGAAGAGATCAACTATTGACCAATTGAAAAAGTAGGGAAGACTAAGAGGTAGGAAAAATAAACCATTGTCAAAACATATTCCCAAAGTGGATTGCAGAAGGGGAAAGACCACCTCAGAGCAACAGAAAACCTGTGCTGGGCAGACAGAATACTGCAGGTGTTACATAGCTAGAAAAGGGCTGGAATAGTTATTGGTACGTTTGGCAAGCATCCCAGAAAGAAATAAAGACAGCAAAGTGCACCCAAAATAATGCAAACAATAAGAAAGAGACTAATCTCAGGTAAGAAAACTCTTCCCTGCAAAAGTTTTGATAGGGTTTAAAAGTTGTTAAAAGGGATATGTCTCAATTAGAGAATAGCAGACAAATTATATTTGAAGAGGAGAGGGAAAGAAAAGAAGCCATTTTGCATTATAAAGCACCTTTCTGATTCTCAGAACATCCCAAAGTATCTTTCCACTATGACCCTTATAAATAATAGCAAATAGGAATACCAATGAATATGAACAAAGTCCATCACCTTTTTCAAATGTTTGGTCACTTTTATTATTGTGTCTTGCTTGGTTGCCCTAATTTTGAGCGCAGAAGCATTTGGTTATGAGTAGAAATTAGTGAGATTGATTCTCTTCACCAAAACACCAAACAAGTGAACTAAATTAATACAGCCAACTGCCATCTGGTAGCATATTTAATAGCAGTGTCATTGAAGAATTGTTCACTATTTTTATAAGTTATTACTCTCTTCACTTAATCTCAATCAACAAGTCTGCTGCATCAGTAAACATATGAACAGATTTACCCTCAGGCCTTTGGTAGCAAAACTCTGGACTGGTCACTAGGAGGGGTGTGTAAGCACCTAATGAAAGTGCATGTTAGTCCAACTAACAAGCAGCTAAACACAAACTGGTAGAGCACTTTTGCAGACTCCACAAACTAGGCACAGAGCTGGGACCTTACTGGTTGTTATAGCTCAGTACTGAGTGTGCTGATGCAGTTAAAACTGACAATAAAACTGAGACACATCACCCAATTAAAACCAGCCTCTCTTTTACAGCATTGACAGCAACGGAGTGGGGTCCCTAGGGTAACATTTCCTTAAACAAAGTTGATTTCTCTAAAGGAATTAGAAGAAGATTACTTTAGTCTTTAGCTCAAGAATTTTATAGTCAAATTATACCCAACCTACAAAATTCAGAACAATAACTAAATTTGCTTGCAATGAAACTAAAATGATGTAACAACAGAAAAAAATCAGGGTGTGTTCTTAAAAAGATCCTGGCAAACTCTCAGCAGTTTCAAACAATGGAGAGGCCTTTCTGGAAAGAGGGGCTTTTGTTTCCCTTTCTACACTAAAGCCATCTCCGTGTGTTTTGCAAAGCTCCAGCAAATCTCACTAGTTACAGCCATTCAAGAGACAGAGGGCCAATGACAAAGAGAATTAGCCCACATGCCTCTTGGCAGGGAAGGCAGCAGTGAGTCACATGACTATGAAGCGCAACATAAACATGGCTAATCCTCACTAAAATGTAGCTGATGCCATGTTGGCAAGGATTTAATCACTATAGCTATTTATAAGCAGCAGCGATCAGCAGGTCAGAATGCAGTTCGAATAACCGACAGAGAAATTAACATTATAAATATGAATATAAAGAATGACATTTCCTGAATCTCTTTAGGAACTGAATGCCAAATATGAAAAGCAGCATTTTTGTTTTTAACAACTGCATTTATTTCACACCTTTAGTGTAGACTTGACATTAAATCTCATAATGGCTTTCACAAGAGAGTTATCCAACAAAATTCAACACCGAATCATGATTTTGCAAATGACCTGAAGCTTTGGCACAGACATCGGGCCCAATTTTCCCTTTTTATTTACAAAGAAATGCGTGGCAAATCAAACACCACACCCAACCATGAGATAATTCACCAGATCAACCCATCAAGCTGTTCATTAAGAGCAGACAGATGAGCGAGGGTGGGTATCGGATCTGAACACCGACAAAGCTGTCAGGCAGAATTCAGCACCTCCTCGTCCAGAAGTCTGCCTGTGGAGGCCTACTCCTTGGGGGATCTGGAGGTGAAATAGTAAGACCATTTTTCTTCTTCTCATGGGATATTGGTCATGGGGACAGGGGTATCGACAGAGTCAGAGGCAAGAGCAGAGACCGGCTTTCAGAGGCTACCTCTTGTGTACCATCTGTGCCTCTGGCTATCCCATATTGGGACAATTGTAGATCCCCCTCCACTCTCAACTCAGCTGAGTTTCCCATGGAAATAAACCCCCTTTCATGTTTTACAAGGAGGTAGGCAATTGGCGAGTGGGCAAGTCAAGGTCCTTACATGGCCATTAATTGATGAGTTGAACAAGTCACCCATGGAACTTGTCACCCAGCATTTAATTGCAGAAGTGGCAAGAACAGTTCCTCTCCATGGCATATTCACCTTCTCCAAGGGAAAAGTCCACCCTTTGGTTTTAAGGCAGGAAAGAGGGAAGTAGATAGTAGATAGGTGAAGGTTAGGGAGGAAATTTCAGAGATTAGGACCTTCACTGCTGTAGACAAGCTACCAACGGTAAATCCACTGAAAGCTGGTAAAACTGCAGAAAATGCCAGAATTAGCTGAGCACAATTTTCTCAAAGAATTTTACGCTGGAGGAGGTTACATGGAGACGAATAGGGAGGCCAGGGAGAAATGGTGAGGCCAAGGATGAGTACTTGAAAATTGTGTTACTAAACATGGATCTAATGCAAACTGAGCAACTCAGGAGAGAATGCTGAACAGGACTTTGGTGCAAAATATGGGCAGCAGGGTTTATGACGACTTCAATTTTTCAGAGGTCAGTACTCGTCAAGTTCTGTGGGTCACAGGCTAGGAATCCTGCAGCAACTCACCTCCTGACTCCTCAAAGTCTGTCCACCATCTGCAAGGCACAAGTCAGGACTGTTATGAAATACGCCCCACTTGCTTGAATGGGTTTAACTTCACCAACACATGGAAAACTTGACATCATCCAGGACAAAACAGTCCCTTGATTAGCGCCACATACACAAACATTCATTCTTTCCACCATTGATGCACAGTAGCAGCAGTGTGTCCTGTCTATAAGATGCATGGGAGACATTCCTCATGCTGCTTAGGCAGCATCTTCCAAACCCATGCCCACTTCCATCTAGAAGGTCAAGGGCAGCAGATATATGGGAACACCACCACCTTCAAATTCCCTACCAAGCCACTCACCATCCTGACCTGCAAATATACTGCCATTCCTTCACTATTACTAGGTCAAAATCCTAGAATTCCCTCCCCAAGAACAATGTAGGTCAATCCACAGCATGTGGACTGTAGCAGTTCAAGAGGCAGCTCACCACCACCTTCTCAAGGACAACTAGGGATGGGTAATAAATGTTGGCCAACCAGTGATGCCTACATCCCACGACTGAATTTAAAAAGAGCCTTACAACAAACTGCCCGTAATAATAAACCAGCATTCTAGCTACGCTTCAAGGCAAGTTGTTCAAACAAAGCTACAACACTAGCATCCAAATAGCAGCATGGATAATCCCCAGGTACGTCCTAAGAATAGTGGTTCAAGTTCAATTTGGCCAATGACTGCCCCACTCTCTTCTCAACCAACAGCCATGTGGCAGAAGGTATCACTGACAGTGCCATCAAATGGCACTTATACTCACCAATAACCTGCTAACAGATGGCCGAATCAGGTTCCAACTGGTTCCAGACATCATTACGATTATGGTACTAACACGGGCAAAAAGTTAAATATTGGAAGGGAAGCAAGACTGACTGCTGTCAGCATCACAGCAGCAGTTAACCAAGTACGGCATGAAGGAGAATGAAGGGAAGGAGAATGAAAGGATTCCCATGAAGCAAATCATGGGGAAAACACTCTACTAGTTACAGTCATAGCTAGAAAAAGAAAAATGACTGTTGGAGATCAATCATCACAACCCCATTACATTAACCTGTGGAACTCCTGCAGCAATGATGTGGACCCATCCATCTTCAGCTGCTTGAATGACCCTCCGTCCATCAGAAGGTTAGATGTGGAGATGTTTGCTGTAGGTACATAATGTCCAGAACTATTCACACATTCTCACAGACTGAAGTTATCTGTGCTCACATGACCTGAGCAATGTACATAAGTGGCAAGTTGCACAAATGCCAAACGACATCCATATCCTTTCAAGGGAGGTGATGCTACAGTGCTTTGTTACTGGGCTGATAACCCAGTCCCAGACGAAACGTTCCATGACAGGAGATGGTAAAACTTGAATTTTAAAAGAATTAAAAGTCTAATGATGACCATGAAACCATTATCAATTATCACCACCCCCATCAGGTTCACTATCATCATTTAGGGAAGGAAAAGACCTGTTCTGGCATCCATGTAACTCTTAGCTGCTCTCTGAAATGGCCTAGCAAGTCTTTCAGTTCCATCAGATTGAATTTAAAAAAAGGAGTGAAACTGAAAGGACCTGCTGGCATGGAGCTAGGGATCAGAAATAGCAAAGGCAAACTCAAAGTCCTCTTTACAAACATCTGGGGACCAGTGCCACAATTGAGATAACAGTCCCACAGACAGTCAAGCAACAGCCTGATGTATGAATCCGTGAGTATGACAATGACCCAGGCAATATCACCACTATACCTGGATATGTTTTATTTTATTTAATTTGATTTATTATTGTCACATGTACCGAGATACAGCAAAAAGTGTTTTGAGTGCTGTACAGACAGATCATACCATATAGGTGCATCAGGGTAGCAGAATAGAATGCAGACTACAGTGTTACAGCCACAGAGAAGGTGCAGAGAGAGATCAACATTGAAATTTAAGAGGTCCATTCAAAAGTCTGACAATAGCAGTGAAGGAGCTGTTATTGAATCTGTTCGTACGTGCATTCAAAACTTTTACATCTTCTGCCCGATGGAAGAGGGTAGAAGGGAGTACAACTGGGGTGGGAGGGGTCTTTGATTACGTTGTTTGCCTTCCCGAAGCAACAGGAAGAATAAACAGAGTCAATGGATTGAAGGCTGCTTTGCGTGATGGACATGTCCTGTCCCACCAGCAGACAGACCCAGCAGAGGTGGCAGCACAATGGTACACAGTTGGGAGTGGAATTGTCCTGGGAGTCCTCATTATTGACGATGGAAACTTCTTGCTGCTTACCATATGCCATATCCCTATGTACTCCAATACCTCCCCATGTTGAACACTACTTGGAGGAAGCATTGAGGGTGGCAAACAAAAAAAAAAAAAAAACAATCACACAATGTACGCTGGATGGGGGACTTCAATTTTCATCCAAGAATAGCTCAGCAGCAGTACCACTACTGACTGAGCTGGTTGGGTCCTAAAAGACATTGTTGCTAGACGGAGCCTGTGGCTGGTGGTGAGGGAATATTTATAATTATTGCATCTCTTAATTATCTGCTGCTGCACTCTTCAGTTTGTACTCTCTGGCCCTTCCTGCTTACCATGACCTTATTATTTACTATGTTTTGCTACGTCTCCTCTCATATGACGTTTCTCCACCCACAAATCAGTTCAAAGCCCTCTCTACTGCCCAAGTCATGTGGTGCATAAAAATACCGGTCCTAGTCCAATTTAGCTTGTCCCACTTATATATCTCCCACTTTCTCAAGTATTCATATCAGTGCCCCATGATGCAAACCCAATTTCTCCTACACAAGTGTTTGAGCCATACCTTCATCGCTCTGATCTTATTTGCACCGCACCAATTCGTACATGGCTCAAGTAGTAACGCAGAGAACATTACTTTTGAAGTTTTGTTGTTTAAATTTAGCTGTACTACCTAAGCAGAACGTTTTTCCTAGCACTATCTATGTCATTAATACCATGATGAGCCCGACAACTGGATCAGCCCCACCCCACTTCAAGTTTCTCCCGAGCCCCAAGCAGGACTGGGCCATCAACAAAGTTGTCTGATCTCTTGCTCTCAGCCGGTGGGAAATGTGTCTACCCCCTGACTATGCTGTACCCTGCCACAATATTTCTATTTACTCCCCCTGCTCAAAGAACTTCCTGCACTATGGAGTCATGATCAGTTAGCTCATCCATACAAGCTGAAACATCCTTAAAAGTTTCTATAAATATATAAAACGAAAAAGAGTGGCTAAAGTAAACGTTGGCCTTTTAGAGCATGAGAAGGGGAATTTAGTTATGGGATATGATGAAATGGCCGAGGCATTGAACAGGTACTTTGTATCGGTCTTCACAGTGGAGGATACTAATAACATGCCAGTAATAGACAAAGAGACGAAGGTAGGTGAGGACCTGGAAACAATCATAATTACGGAAGAGGTAGTGTTGGGCAAGCTAATGGAGCTAAGGATTGATAAATCTCCTGGCCCTGATGGAATGCATCCCAGGGTACTAAAAGAGATGGCGGGAGGAATAACAGGTGCACTGGTGGTAATTTTCCAAAATTCGCTGGACCCTGGGGCAGTCCCAGCAGATTGGAAAACAGCAAATGTGACGCCACTGTTTAAAAAGGGAAGTAGACAAAAGATGGGGAATTATTGACCAGTTAGGTTAACCTCTGTAGTGGGGAAGATGCTGGAGTCTATTATCAAGGAAGAAATAGCAAGGCATCTTGAAAGAAATTGTACCGTTGGGCAGACGCAGCATGGGTTCATGAAGGGCAGGTCATGCTTGACAAATCTTTTGGAATTCTATGAAGACATTACGAGCAAGGTGGACAATGGGGACCCAGTGGATGTGGTGTACCTAGATTTCCAAAAGGCCTTCGACAAGGTGCCGCACAAGAGGCTACTGCATAAGATAAGGATGCATGGCATTAAGGGTAAAGTATTAGCATGGATAGAGGATTGGTTGACTAACAGGAAGCAAAGAGTGGGGATAAATGAGTGCTATTCTAGCTGGCAGTCAGTGACTAGTGGTGTGCCTCAGGGATCGGTGTTGGGACCGCAATTATTTACAATTTATATAGACGATTTGGAGTTGGGGACCACGTGTAGGGTGTCAAAGTTTGCAGATGAGTGGCAGAGCAAAGTGTGCAGAGGACTGTGAAACTTTGCAGAGGAACATAGATACATTGAGTGAGTGGGCAAAGGTCTGGTAGATGGAATACAATGTAAATAAATGTGAAGTCATACATTTTGGTAGGAGTAATAGTAAAAAGGATTATTACTTGAATGGTAAAAAGTTGCAGCATGCTGCTATGCAGAGGGGACCTGGGTGTCCTTGTGCATGAATCACAGAAGGTAGGTCTGCAGGTACAACAAGTAATTAGGAAGGCAAATGGAATTTTGTCCTTCATTGCTAAAGGGATTGAGATTAAAAGCAGAGAGGTTATGTTGCAGCTGTACAAGGTGCTGGTGAGGCCACACCTGGAGTACTATGTGCAGTTTTGGTCTCCTTAATTGAGAAAGGATGTACTGGCACTGGAGGGGGTGCAAAGGAGGTTCACTAGGTTGATTCCGGAGTTGAGGGGGTTGGCTTCTGAGGAGAGACTGAGTAGATCGGGATTATATTCATTGGAATTCAGAAGATTGAGGGGGGATCTTACAGAAACATATAAAATTATGAAGGGAATAGATAAGATAGAAGTAGAGAGGATGTTTCCACTGGCAGGTGAAGGTAGGACAAGAGGGCATAGCCTCAAGATTAGAGAGAGCAGATTTAGAACGGAATTGAGAAGGAACTTCTTCACCCAGAGGGTTGTTAATCTATGGAATTCCTTGCCCAGTGAAGTAGTTGACACTACTTCAGTAAACGTTTTTAAAGATAAGGTAGATATTTTTTTGAACAATAAAGGAATTAAGGGATACGGTGAGAACGCGGGTAAGTGATCTGATTCTCAAAAAGACTAGCCATGATCTTATTAAATGGCGGGGCAGGCTCGAAGGGCTGGACGGCCTACTCCTGCTCCTAGTTCTTATGTTCTTATGTACATCAATTGGATAATCACAAGGGCTGAAGCTCCTGCCCTCCAGGGACTCTTACCTACTTCACATGCAGTCACACTCTCTTGTTCTTAACAACTGAACAAATCAGATTATCGTTTCGTAACGGGCATGATCATATCCTGGAACAAAGTATCCAGGTAACTTTCCCCCTTTCCTAATGCTCAGCCTCCACCTCACTGACTCTGAGCAGTAGCTCTTCCAGCCACACAGACATGGTTTGCAGTGGATCACACTGATGTCCATGAGCTCTCACATCCTGCAGCTTTGACACATCATCTACTTGACTATCCATAATGCAATTTAATTAATCACTTTTTAAAAAAAAATCTTTAATTTGATGCCTCTCCTCACCGCTACTTACTATAATTTACACCTTAATTAGTAAAGGTTTATTGTATTACTAAAAAAAATTATGGATTCACCAGCTTGTTATTTACCTTCTTAAGGCATCTCTTAATTAGTTTAATCATAATCTTAATGAATCATAAAGCAGCTACTTAAGGATAATTTAAAAATGCATAGTTTTCTCATTTCCAGTTATTTACACACAGTCCTCAGGAGCAGTTACTCACCAACCACTCAACTTGTGACATTCTGTAACAGCACCATCCACCTTGCTTCCAAACTCTCCACACTCCTGTCCTCATTGACTTTTTCTCGCCATATGACCAGCCACATTATTACTTGACGAGAAGAATGGGTCAGAGGTTGGAAACATTGCAGTGAGTAACTCACCTCCAGATTACCTAAAGCGTGTTCGCCATCTACA